CGTTATAGAAAGTAAAAAAGAAAGATAACCCTCCTTTATTCTGTAAGTTTTGGGTGTGATGATTTGTCTAGCCCTAGAATTCTCGAGCCCACTGCATTGGTCTCCAATACTGCACAAGGAAGGGAGCATGAAAAGCTTTCCAAGGAAGGTAGTGGAGTGAATTTGGAATTTAGAAGGCCACTGAGGATCCCAAAATCTCTGAAGTCCACTGCATTCACTTCTCAAGTCTTTGGATTTCTATCCTATGTAGTAGATGATGATCAGCTTGGAGTGCTGAGATGGAAAGTAGATGGGATGATTTATCATCTGATATTTTATAGCACTTGCGATACATCATATTGGAGTGAGTATCTGATTCAGCGACGTGCAGAAAACGTGACAATATGATGTGGCGAAGAGACGTTCAAATGCTTGATGTGAAATGTAGGACCAGATCAGAACATACAAGCGCTTCATGAATCCCACTAGCTATAGACTATTAGATGACATTATATCAAACGAGTTCAAGTCGCCATAACAAGCTTTCTTGGCTATCTTGACAGCTGACCTCACTTGAGTAAAGGATTGATACGGTATATATATACACTGAACAATATTGGACGATGGAGAATTATATATTCATAAAAAGGAGAATAACTAAATTTCATAAGGTTTAAAATGATTTGGATCCAATATAAACGATAGAATTAGACAGTACAAACAAACCCATACCCACGCTTATCCGGTATTACTCATAAAAACAGTCCTAGGTTTCTAAAACTTATTGACCTCGTCATTGACAACGTTGTTAATCTCAGGGTCCATTGAGGAAGGTATTCCTTCCTTGCTTGCAACTGAGTCGACAGCTATGTGAAGGATACCTTAGCATGAGTCAGGATGTGTAATTAGATGAGAAAGCATACCAGAGTCCACTATGGTATCTTCGGCTTTATTGTTACTACCGTTGGAGTTGTTTGCGTTGTTATTTCCATCGTTTCCACCTTGTCCGGTTGCGTCTTCACCAAACTTCTTGATATCTTCTCCGAGACCCATGATGATTGATTGAAGTGGTTGGTGGTTGGTTGTTTTGAGGTGGTCTGCGGTAGATATTAACAAGCTGAGTAGTGGTACAGGTGAATTGTCATACAGTTAGCTTGCTTCCTTGATATTTGTTTGGTATATTGTATTAGAAAGTTGATGTGTTGATGTGTTGATATTTTGATATTAGAAGAAGATGAATGAAAAAAAGATGACAGTCAAGACTTCTTATAGCTGTCTCCTTCTGCTAGAATTCACAATATTCTGTCCAAAACTTGCTCGACCGTTCGTCTTCACGAGCTCTGATAACTAACTTCGATGTAACATCACAGTTAATGCATCATGATGTACTTCACAGCGCTCTTATCTCCATATTTATTGTTCATATCATCACAATACCCATATTTAGACCCCACGTTTTGAAATAGCAACCCAACAATATCTTGTTATCGAGCTTCCATAAGCTGTTCTCTTCTTTCTAGACTGACTCTCAACGGCTAAGATAACTTGTTCTAATTCTGAGAACCCCTGCGCTCTTGCATGAACCAGCGTCATGTTGGTACCGCAGAACAGGGGTTCGTATGTCTATCTAAAAAGCTTGATGCAATGAGCCGTGAATGCCAATGTATGGGGAAAGGCTTGATTAGGCGTCTTGATATGCTTTCTTCGTCGTGCTTTCTGTTGTGTAAGTCATGCGTAAAGATTGAACTATGTACCGGTATCAATATATGACATATTGGAAGATAGAAACTAGACTTCTGACTTGTAGTGTACGAACTACTCGGTACCCTTGAACATTATCAAAGGCTGCATATTCCCGCCATCAAGGCCTTAATGAAAAGTTCGATCGGTATCAATCATTCGTAAGGATTTCTTGTGTTGAACTTACGAAGTATTGACCTTCGTACTTTGCAAGAGAGGGAGGTGAGCTCAAGAAAAAGAAAACATATGTGCTTGGTGTAGCACGTGACCCATTACATTCTCCGCTTCATCCTTCCATTTCTCGTAATGCCAAGACAACTTTCCCGATAAGTGATAAATGTCGATAAGCTTTTGTTTGAAGCAACGTCGTTGAAGCAAGGTCTCACCTCTAATATACTCTACAATATACTCTCATTGCAAATAACACTTCTTACAACTTCAACATTGTTAAACTTATCGTCCTTATTAACTCCTATCAAACTACAGCTTGCACGAACACTCTAATCCCTAGACAACCTACATCAACATGGAATACAAAATGGAATACAAGCCACGACCTTTACAATCATCTTCCGTGAAAATAGCTCCTCGAATTATCATTCATGGTGGCGCAGGTAACATCCTACCAGCTAACCTTCTACCCGCAAAGTACAAGCTCTATCATGACTTTCTCCTACGCATCCTTTCCAATACTCATCACTTCCTCACATCGCCGTCCTCTTTCCCCCTTCACAAAACTTCTTCTTCTACCACAACTGCTCTCGATGCGGTTACATTTGCAGTCACACAATTGGAAGATAATCCTTTATTCAACAGTGGACATGGCGCGGTTTTTACACGGGATGGAATCAATGAACTCGAGGTATCGATAATGGTTTCAAGTGGGAAGAAGAAGAGGGGAGTAGGACTTATGGGGCTGCAGCATGTTAAGAATCCTATAAAGCTTGCACGCGAGATGTTGATACGTGGGGAGCAAGACTTAGAAGGTGGGAATGGAGAACACAGGGGACCGATGAGTGTTGACGAGGCAGCATTGAGAAAGACCCTTGGAGCACAAGGACATTCACAATTACACAAATACTCGGCAGAGAAATTGGCAAAAGAATGGGGATTAGAGCTTGTAGATGAGAAATACTTCTTTGTTCAGGCGAGGTGGGATGAACATATATCGGGGTTGAAAAGGGAGAAAGATGGGAAAGGAGATGCATCTTGGGATGCCAAAGAATTCATACCACAGGGAACATGTGGTGCTGTCTGCCTCGATTCCGATGGTGTACTATGTGTAGGTACAAGTACTGGAGGTATGACAAATAAATTGACAGGGAGAATTGGTGACACTCCGACGCTGGGTGCCGGTTTCTGGGCTGAGGAATGGGAGGATACATCGGCGGATGAGGATTTGCATCGACTTCGTCGATCGATGCGCAATCAAAGACCGATTATAGATTTGAGTAATCAGTTGAAAGGTTTGATGGCAGATTGTTTCCCAGGCTTGAATCTAAGAAGTTACAACCAGATTTACCAAGAATCCCTAGAAGATAAAGCTTTGGAGTCCCGGAAATACATGAGATCCACCGCCATGTCCGGCACTGGAAATGGAGATTCCTTCCTTCGTCTTGCTGCGGTACGATCTGCATCGGCAATTGCTCGATATCGTCCTGAAACCTCACTTCAAACCGCCATCACTGAAATTACTGGTCCTGGTGGAGAATTAGTCAAATCTGCGGGCGACCGATGGAAGAAAACTGGTGAAGGCGAAGGAGGTATTATTGGGATTGAACTCGCAATTGTACTTGATGAACATGGCCAGAAAACACAAGCAGTGAGCCGCGTAGTTGCTGACTACAATTGTGGTGGTATGTTCCGCGCAGCTATCAATGAAGATGGGAAAGCTGTGATGAGAGTATGGAGACCTGGCCAGTATGATGGCTTGGAAAAATATGAAGGTGAGGGAAGGGAGTATAAAGTTGCTGATTGGGTTGACGCAGAGTAAGAGTTTCCTAGATTAGTCTTCATGGCTAGTATTATTAATGACTAACACGAGTTACGGAATCATTGTCTGTTTTGAATCAAGGTGTATGCTCTAGGTCAGTCATGGTCTAAAGGTACACTTTTGTGGAATTTTTAGTGAGGATCATTCAAGGAGAGTATTGTAGTCCACCAAAGACCATGGATTTTTGGCCAAAAACATCTCAGCAGACTTTCTCACCCCCGAACAATTGCATCATCCCTCCTCATCCTTACATCTGAAGAATCTCCATCAAGAAATCCCTATACACAACGGTCTCTCTCGGCCTTTCATTCTTCATCCTCAAAGCCAATTGCCTCACCAGCCTCTCTACATCATTCACATAACCCTTATTGAATTTAGTTGCATCCTCCAACTGTTTCTCCTTCCCCTTAAACTCCGTCTCCAACATCTCAATCCTCTTGGTGTGTTTCCTCCACCCTTTTTTCAGAGACGTCTCATCCTCCGGGGGGTCTGCCAACACCGGGAAGCTCTCGGTATCGCATTTCTCTTTCTCATCAAGGGCATTGGCAAGTGCAGTTTTCCCAGCTTCGATAGACTTTCGTTCGTGCGAGGATATGAGTTCGATACTGGCGGCTTTGAGTTGGTCGAGAAGCCTCAAGAAGTTTTCTTTGGGGGGTTTTATGCTCCATGTTGTCTGGATGGTTCCAGCCGGTGTTTCGTGTTCCGTGTAGGTCGGACATGTGAAGATGTTCTAAGAATTCGTTACTTGCAGGGTTTACACTGAGAACCTGTGCGTTGAGTGTTTTGTATCCTTCATCTTGAGATTATGTGTAGCTTTTATACCTCAAGAATGGATGTTGCTAGTTCTGGGATTACTAGTTGTTCTCTCGGTTGTGACCATAGTGAATGATGAATGATTGAGTGGTGATCAGATGCTAAGATCTACCAATCCACGTGCATGCATATGGTTTGAGGAAGCAAAGTGTTCTGGATTAGTCCGCAATTGATGGCTTTCGGTTGTGGATACTGATATGATATTAGATTGCAAGTGTGACCTCATGATCTTTTATTCTTTGCTTCTATCTGTTTGTATTTGTTTCTGGGGAATATTTTGGGGAATTAATGACTCCTAGCCCAAGTTAACATATTATCGCTCACCTCACCTAGTACTACATTTCCTCTTGAACAAATTCGCCTAAGTCCTATCATCATGTAAAATTATTCCAGAACAATCAGACGAAAGCTCTTATGAGTCCATCTTGTGGATACGAGGTAGAATAGTTCCTAATTAGTTTGTCTCTGCCAGTGCCGATTAGCAAATTTCAAATAACGCATGCATCTCTTGGATTAATTCATCACACTATTAAAAATCATCGTCTGATGTCACGCGCTTTTCTACTTCTTAAAGCCTCTCATTTCTCGGGATATTGTCGTGGGTGATGAGCTGTCAATCTCATCGTACATATCACCGATATCGAGAGTAAATGTAAAGGTATCGAAGTCCGTGGACTATGATTACCAATACATATACTCCAAAGATTACATCCTCCATCCTGTCCCAGCCATACTAATATAATAGCAAACCTTTCCATTTACCATTTCATTCCTTTCCAGACTCATCCCCCATAACATATCTCCTACACATTATCCACATTAGTCCCCGACAAAAGTATAGCCGCCTCCCCACCCTTAGACGCCCGATCCGTAGTCCGAATCAGATCACGCGTCGTCTCCAGGACTCGGGTCGCCAGCTTCAATTGCAATGCATTTGCCATGAGCGCATTGAGATTTTCCCGGTGTATACCGATGCGGTCGAGATCTCCAGTTCCGTTCTTTTTGGCTTGGATTTCTTTCGTGTGGAACTGGCGTACCATGGATTTAATGCGTTTCTCGTTTTCTGAGGCTTTTGCTTTGATGCTTGTTGTTAGGGCTGTTAGGGCATCGAGTTCGGATTGGACGTTCATGGTGCGAGAAGATGAATGGAATTATTATTCAAAGAGTCTAGAGAGCTTCGTGTATGCCAGTGTGGTCTTGGATTGTAGGGATTGGATAAGTATGCAATCTTGAGGACGACGATTATGTCCAATTTCTTAGAGAAAGATATTGGTATTAGTAGTTATTGTTGAATGTTCTCTGAAGTGTGCAAGACATGACTCTTTTATATTCTATCAAAGTAAATATGATACAAGACATGCTTGTGAGTCAGTGTCGCTATTTTTAATAAGAGCAAAGAGAGAGAGTTTTCTGTGGTGACACTGGTGAGTCAACACACCGTATCTAGTTATGTTGGATAGCAATCCATTCTTGTTATCATCATGGTTATACAGAATAGCAAGCAAATGATGAGTTAATCTTACCGTATCCATTGATTAGACAATTAGTATTTGTTGCAGTGTTAATATGCTATAAATGGCGTACAAGATAATGGGGTTCCGTTAATATCAATATTAGGTTAAGATGAGTCAAGAATTTAACTGTTCAGATACAATTGCTAGATGCTAGATGCTACCCGGTTCTCGGTTATGAATCTTGAATGGATAGTGGATTTAACCGCATGGCAGTTCGGGATGAATACCAGTGATAAATGTTCAGATGTGAGGAGGAAACATGGAAACTTGGAATTATCACTTCATTAGTTTGCGCATTTTCGATTCGAATATTTAGTACAGTATTACGAATCTAGTTGCCAGACTAATGATGCCCTATCTTTCGCTTATTACTCCTATCTTTTCCGGTGCGCCACTTAACAACTTCCCTTCCTCCATTACCAGAGCCGCAGCTTTTCTAATTATCAATGATTTAATGGCTCTCCCCGTTATATTATCTTATAAGACTCTTTTCAACTCGTCTTTATCTGTTGCAGTACTGTATATCCCATCATGTGAAAAATAGAGGCGCTTGAGGGTACGGCCGAAATAGCATATCGGGTAATCTGGGCTATTTATGCATAAGTCAAGTACTCGAGTAGCATCAAATGGTTGTCACGGTTTGGTGTCGCGGATCAACGTGACAAATTGATCTGGTTTGTAAACTTTTGAAGTACGTTTGCAAGCTCTTTGATTTCAATATCATCTGTCATGGTTTTTATTCTCTAATGTAAATGGCTTTTGTAGTATCATGCACATTCAAAATCAAGGTAAGATTGATGATTCAGAAGGGTGGTGGGTGATTCCATGGTTGTATTCATCAGGGAAAAGGGGAATAGGGGTTGAAATGATGTCCTAGTACTTAGTACTGAGAGCGTAGAGTTGTTTAATGGAAATTAACCGTGGCAATGAATTTGTTACGCAAGAAGGAATGTTTAGACTAGAATCGAGAGAACCCCCCAGCCAAATCTTAACAGATGTGCTTGAGATTAGAAATACTGAAGTGATTGGTATTGGTAATTTGACGCTGTAAGAATTAACAAAAGGGTAAAGCTATTTCAATCTCCTCATTGTACCTTTATTTAGGTTTGTATCACTACGAGTATCGTGTAATACATATTCTATCCCAAAGCTTAGAGGCTCTTGGATTAGCCCTTTCCAGGCTCACCAACGATTCCTCCACTTTGATGGTCTCCAGATAAACCCCCTGCATAGCCGTGCTGAACTGTTGCATTTGCTTGATCCAAGTACTGAGAGCCGATCGCTTAGTAGCAAGCAGTGGGTCATGAGGCGGCCCCGAAGTTGTTGGGGATGAAAAAGAGTCAGATCGAGACGTCTCGTTTCCGTATTCTTCTTGATTTCGGAGTTCCCATTCCTTCTCTTTGCCCCAAAGAATATGTTGCTCAACTTTCAAGATTGCGCATGTTAATTGATCGCCCAGGCCGGCAGTTTTAAAACAGTAATTCGGCATGGGGTTTTCAGAACCTAGTTCTCGGCGAATCAGATCGGACATAGCCAGTGATTTTGAAAGACTTTGGTGGCGTTGCAACACTTCTAACTCCCCGTTTTGTGGGAGTTGATATGTCATTTTAAAGTCAAAAATAGGGATTCTGATAGTTTGTGATGAGATACTTTGAAGGATTGACGATAATGGATCTTACTTTGGGAATGAGGATTATCAATTGATCAGCGATCTGAGTCACATATCACTTGATTTTACAAATAGTCATATTGAACTACGGATTGATGTTTGCAAGTACTAACAAACAGTTAAGCTGTCGAATGTGATTACCAGTTAATTATGTTTTACGTTTTGGACGATCTTTGCTCCTTTCTATCGCGAAGCAATGCGACCAATTATTTTTGAAAGGTTCTGATTCTCGCTTCAGCCCCTCTAGCAAGCAATGATGGAGTATTCTTTTCACTGACCACGCCAGATTCTCTCATACCCTTTCAACTTGGCTCAAGGTATCCTCCATTGTTATATTAAAATCAACGATAAGGCCTGAATTGGGTCCTCGTAGTTGTCTGAAGATTTTGCGTCATGTTTAGCTGAGATAGTCTCTTACCTTTTTAATGGGTCGAAATGAGAGCCTGGGGTTCAGGATCTGTCAAACATATTTAGACGAGTTCACGTTAAAATTTTTCTTTCCTCATTGTACATACAATATAGGCTCTAGCGAAAAGAAATCTAGGTGTGTGGCCGTCGATGCGTTGAGAAGTCTCTGCCTTAAAGAGCTAGAAGGGAAGAACAGCAACTCTACCTATGTAGACGGTAAATGGCACATTACAAAGTCTAAACATTCGGCACACTAACATAATTATGTCTGGTCTCAAAGGTATCATAAACATAAAGATGACCATCTTACTTTTCCATGCGGTTTATGCAACACTATTTTGGGTTTCAAGAGAAAATCAGACGTTGCAATCTAGTGAACAACTACTTCCATGTCTAGCGAAGATTTGCCCCCATTCCCCCTTCTAACTGGTAATTGAACAATTAACCACTCTGGGGCCAACTTTGATGAACTATTCCTTCTTCCTTATAGAAACCTCTCGTCACAAGAGCATGCATCCACTCCCTTATGCGTCCAATTTTCCTGGCCATTTCCTCCATTGAAATGTGCAACTCTCTAAGATTTACGGCCCACATCTGAAGCACCCAATTTCCATTGACTAGGGCAATCTTATCTGTCCCCTCAGCCAAAGTCTGAATCGCATCATTCCTCCATCTGACCAGCCGAACCGCAGATGCTTCAAACTCCTGGATCTTTTCCCCCATCCTTGATATTTGAGCTTCGCAGCTCTGGAAATCAGCATCGTTGGCATAAACCATATTTGGAGGGAGGTTGTGGTCCATGTCAGTCAGATATTGTGAATGTCCTGCTAATATTTTGGATTTGGGTGCTTTTGGTGTTGAAAAGAGGATGATGCCAAAGTAGACCAGACTGTTGTTCAAACTCTGGATGATAAATTGAATTCTTTTTATAATTGGGAGGGGACCGACGCCCCTTTTGTCGACAAATTTCCCCAAGCTACTGAGATTGCGTGAATGGTCCCATGATGATGTCACCTCAGATAGTCACGTTCACTGTATGTACTGTCTTTCTTAATCAGGGGAAAGATCATGATACGATTGTAATCGGCTGCAAACCGATCATGAACATATTCCATCTAGACATATTTCTACTATCCAGCCAGCCGATCAACTTATCGCAAACTATTCCCTAGACTCTCCCATCTCACTTTTCACTGCTCGGGGACCCCATAGAACCCAGTTCTGTTCAACTCTTTCAGACTCCTTCTCATATCATTAATCATTTTCGATGAGATATCCAAGTGGTCATGCAACTGCTTAAGTTCTTCCTTCCAGGCTTCAATACTCTCGATAGCATTGGTCCGCGCCACCACCTCATGAATTGCGCGTTTTGCTTCTTTTCCCTCCTGCGTTTCCGCGTCCCCTTCCGCTGTTCGATCTATCCACTTTCCCAAGAAATCCGGTGCAGCCTCCTCTGCAGATCTATCCGTTGTCTCGGAAGGGGATCCGGTAATCGAATCATCCATATCGGCATCAAATTGGCCATCTTTGACAGAGCCAGTATCAGTGAAGCTTTTCATACTAGCATCACTCTCCTCCGAGGGCGATTTTTGTCTCTCGAAGCGCCTGGGAACACCCGCTTTGAGAATAGCTTCTGTAGAGTCGCAAAGCTTTCCAATTTTTACCATGAATTTTTAGAATCTTGATTTGAAAATTCATAAGATTGACATCCGTGACGTATCTAATTTTGGGAGCAACGTCAGACATCTTGAAAGGTGACTAAAGTCTAAGATCTTTGATCAATTTGGGGTAGTTCACAACAAGACTGGATTTTTTGGTCGATCAAATGCTAATGTGGTTCTTTGATTTGAGAGGATTGGGAGGAATTACACCAGATTTATATGAATGGACCATGCTACTTTTACTTTCAAATCACAATGAATGGCCGGCAACCTGATCTAGTGACCGCGTTTCAATCACATTCTCCAGCTTCAATTTGCAGCAATCTAAAATCAATTTCCTGGATTCAATCATGCTTTGATGACACTGGTCATTTGCTGCTAGTCATACCACAAATTCTACAAGCCAAACGACGAATCAAGGCTAGTCGAGCTATGCTTCTCCCACCAATCCCAGCCCGCCTGGGATTTACAAAGATTATCTCTCAATCTCAAACTTCTGTGGAGTAGGCTCATCATCATAAATGTTTTCTGCGTGAAGCTCAGCCAACATTGCTCCGACCTCAATTATCGTTGCAGGGACCGCACCCATTTCTACAAGGAGTTTTTGGAGCATTTCCTTCCATTCCTTCACATCCTTTCCTTTCAATTCAAGCTCTCGTGCTGCTTCGATCCATCGATCAACTTCTTCAATATCTTTCCGTTCATCAAAAGCGAAGATCTCAACACCCCGAAAGGTGGGACGTTTTTCATCTGGTTGCGGACCTTTGATTATATGAGAGACTGGACGTGGAAAATTTAAATACCAGGGGAGGTTGAAAGGGACTGCAAGGTCTGCCAGCTAGAGTAAAATTGACAAGAGTAGTCTCTTGGTCATCGTAACCTGCGGATGATGGCATTCTCATAGAAAACTATGGATAAGATACGGTATTGCAATAATCTATCGACAATGATAAGAATCTGTAGGAAGAATAGGAATGAATTGAGTTATCAGCTAGCTGTAGGATATTCTTCATTTTCACAGAATAATGAAGGATACCAAGGTTATTATACTTTCAAAAATGTGGAAATCCAGGCAATTCATGCTTCTGCCACTCATTTTGAGGTCTTACGGTGGCATAATTCTACTAGTTTAATTTCTTGACTTTAGTAGCAAACAAAATTCTATCCATTCTAACACATCCAAACTTGATTCTTGCGGGTCAACAATCTATCCTGTATCATCCATCCTTAATCGGCCCTCCATATCAGCTGCCTCCAATCTGATTTCTTACAGCCACTACACATACTACCTCTGATTCCTCCTAAGACCAACAGGATAAATCCCATCTTCCTCAAGTTGCGATAGACGTGTCCTCAATCTCACAACTCTTCCATACACCTTCTGCATATCAGACATCCACCCTTTGAGCTCTCTTTTCCAATCCTCGACATTCAAGTCATCTGGCTTTCGTTCTTCGAGCTCTCGCGCTGACTCCACTCCTCTAGCTTATTCACACATTCAGAAGCTTGGTTTTGGTAATACTTGAGTTCTGATTGTAGGGGTCGTATAGATTGTGACCGCGGGCTTTGATCCATTCCACGATTAGGTGGAGAGGTAAAAATGCCCAGAATTGGGACGGCAGAAAGAGGAGTGGAGGCTCTGGGTGAGTTGGGGAGATCTCTTGGACCTTTGGGATCAACGGGATCGGTGTGTTTGTTAGTTGGGGATGACATGATTTGGAGATGTAGATTGAAAGCGCTATGCTATTTTGGTTGTTGTAAGAATGACTTGATGCCACTTGAGGCAACTTCTACGTTAGTTGGCATGGAAAGGGTCGGTAAATATTATACATTCAATTGTTTGTGTTTGCCAACTGGTTAACTCTTCCACGTTCTTGCGGTATGATCACATCGTTTTTCTTGTTAACATCACGATTGTGGTTTGTAGGAAATGGCTTGTTTGTCCTCAAATAGAAGATTAAGCGTTATCTGATTAATGGTCTTTCTGCTTAGCACTATCTCCGGCGATTCTCCGTGCAGGTTGTTAGAAATTTTTGACACTGACCAAATTGACTTCCTCTCCAAACTCCAAATCTATGCGTCAAAATTCTAGACTCCCAAGTGGAGTTCATCACTACCCCGGCCATCCCTTTCAAGCCTCTTTCTTATGCTCCTCAACTTCTGTACGTTCGCAAGGCATCTATTCATCTCATGCCCCCACGTAAATAGTTCTTCTAACCAGTCTTCCATACAACCTTGCATCGATTTGCTGAATTCTAAGTATCCTCTCCTTCCCTGATGCTTGATTTCGATAGCATACTTAATGTATTCATCGATTTGCTCTAGCTTCGCTAAGGTTTCTTCAATATGTCTATTGAGTTCAGCCATAGTGGGCAGAAGTTCGAGAACGGTAGTAGGTGTAGACATTCTAAGTTTTCGAAATGTTAATATCCCCTTTCCGAACAAAATACTGGGGGCCCTGAAACTAGCCGGTAGAAATAATTCTCCAGAATTATAAACTGTAAGGCGTTACTGCCCTTTATATGTTACATCAATCACAAGGACTGACTACTTGAAATGGATCATTTGACTTCTCCATTTCGTGACAACTGTCACTGGCCACAATCACATTCTTCACATTAGAAATTGAATCAAACACTAATCAATGTAGCCAGTTTGATAGGTCAGCTCTTCAAGGCATCTCAACCAGAGTAAGATCATCTATCGCTAAACATAAACTTCCTGATTTCTGTTAATTCGAAACCCGATCTACTGATACATATCTCTTTAGCGCATCCATTCGCTGGCTCTTTTTCTCACAGCTTTATAATAACCATCTAGCAAATCGACTGTTTTCGAGGAGGTCTGCCGCGCTCTTCACCCAGCCGTCAAACTCTGATTTTCAATGTGAAAATTGGTTTGAAGTAGCATTCTAACAACTAATAAATGCACAACTAATAGCCAGCTTGGGAATGCTAGTCAAGAAATGTAGTCTACAATTCTAAGCACTGTAGTCACCATCGTGTCAGTGTATCTAGGAATGTTTAGGTCACGAGTTTTAAGATTGCTGTAGATCATCCATGAATCTTGCAAATTTCCGTCAATCAAAAGCTCCTGGACCCTTATGATACATCTGAAATGGTAGATAATACCCAGTACCCATATTCTCCAACCCTTTCTGCAACAACCCTCCATTCCATCTCTCCATAGCCAAACACTCTCCAACGATCATATTTCTCCCACAATATCCTCCATGTCAGCGTTTGAAAAATCAAACTTAGCATCTACCAGTCTCATTAAAGGACCCATTTTTTGATCAAGGGCCTTCTCTAACTCAGTTGCCAAATCTAAGAGACCAGTCCACCACATTTTCATGTTGGGTAAATTCTCGCCTGCATTATCCACAGTTTGCCGATATTCTTCAATGAGACAATTGAAATCGATTAGCATCATTTTCACTGCCAAGATGTGTATGGAGAGCTGGCGGGGCGTCATGTTTGCAGGTTTTTTAAGATCATCTGATGTCGATTCCATAGTGACAAGGTTACGGCTACGAACAGATCGGTGGCTGGAAGATGAAATGAAGTCTGCTGTATGTGGTGTATCTTTTGGAGAGGATTCCCGACTACGAAGACTTTGTCTTTTGTTAGGAGGCAGCCAAAGGGGTTGGTTTCATTCCCTTTATATTCAAGCGAAAAGTATTTGTACCGATCCCACAAAACTCTCGTATAACCTCCTACTGCAATGACTAGACAAAATGATCATCATCTTCAGGTGATTACTTTTATACACACAAATATGAACATCATATGATTCTAATAGATCTATTCAGTAAAAGAAGACCACGGAGGAGAATTAGATGGAGAAAGTAGGATGGCGTACAAGGACTACGAAAGGTTCGGTAATAGTCCAGGAGGTATGTTGTGGAACTGCAGCATAGATATTAGAGGTAGGAAGTAAACGCTTTGAGGGCGAGGATGGATCACTTTCTCAAATCTATGGAACTTCATTTCGATGGAGTGATAGATCGTAATCAGATATCGAGATTCTAATGGAGTAGAAACGTTAGATAGTCACCTGGTATGCGCTTTTAGTGTGTATGGATAGAAGCCTATGGATACTTGTGGGTAATCTGCCCTGTGGGTACCTACTAAAGCTACGACCCGTTTCGCAGGTTACCCTGAGGCTATTAGGATTTCAAGATAACCTATCCCATGAGTTATTAACGGGTTGGTGGATTATGATAGGCTGTAGATATTACAAATAATCAACATGTTATCTATTCATACTTTTGCCCTGCTAGTAAATCAAATCATTCATAATCTGCTTCGCAGGTATCCGTTGCGTAAGTCAACTACCCCACATATGGACCACCCCCCCTTTTGGATCACCCTAAAAAAAAAGACTCCCATCTCCCAAACCCTATAATTCAATAACTATCCAACTTCAATAAAATCGTTTGTACCATTATTTTCAATTGTATTATCACTATCTTCTACATTAATTTTACAGTCTTCAACCATAATTTGTGTCTCCCTAATAACTCTAATCCCTGAAAACCTGGTATTTGGATTAGTAATAATCTTATATCTTTTTTTAGGTATAACAGTATCCAATTGATACTCCAATTGTTTTATATGCTTCTCTGATCCTATAAGATTATAATCCTTAATATCAAAAGCTTTGATAATCTTACAAAAAAGCAAGTGTTTTGTTAATAAATCAGGCTCTTTTTTTTGGATTACAATCAATATATATAATTAAAGATCAGATACTTTTTGAGAGATTTTTTTAT